GTGCCAGTTAACTCTACGACCAGTCTGGAACCCCAGTCAAGTGATAATTTCGTGTTTAGGAGCGGCAACAGACAGGCTTCCCACAACGTAGTGCTATCGTCTTGCAAAGATATCCAAGCTAGCGCTCATTTATCCATGTGCAAATGTTTCAACACCGCCCACGTTTTGGGAGACACTGGAAGGCCGGGGCATTCTAACATTCTCAGTCATCTGAACCCAAATGTTTCTTCGAATATCAACCGTAGCCTGTTGGGTTCGCCAAACTGCCGATCAATAGGCATATTTTGCGGCTTCATTTTGGCAGCCGTCATCCCAAAGATGTGCTCTCCAGGCTTTGGCATATTTAATGTTAAGTTTACCTCATAGATCACGCGCAAAAGGTCAGGCAGGCACCATGGCATAACAGAAACATGGTAACAACTTTGATACCGATTACCTTGTGCGCACTTTCCCTACAGATGCCAAAACTGGTCACACATTTGCGTTTGCTCCAACAATCACGGTCACCAGCATTGCTATTGTGTTCGGATACCGGTAGTGTAGTGGTTCAGTAGCACGTCTGGAACAAGAGGTACGGGGTTCGGCTCCTCGCGGTGTCTGCCCCTTCTGCGAAGGTGACAGGCAGGCGACGCCGTGCCGTCAGCAGCTGAGCACGTCGCAAGGCCCAATGGCGGACGACACAGATACTGTGTGTTGCCTCCGCATCTGCACTAGAATGTCAGAAGATTCTTTGTGAGTGCTAGTCTTGATGTTGAGCATTTCACACTGTCGCCAGCTGAAGCCGTTTAGCTGGTACAAATAATCATCTCACATTCTTACGCAGATCCAGACAGCAACTAATTCCGTGATACTAATACCTTACCTCAATTCTTCCGTAGTTTCTGAATGTTTTACGCTGCATATGGCTATGGCTTATGGCTTTGGTCATTAACAGCCGCTGGTCAATTTCCCGCATGTATCGGATTCAGGCTAACTTTCAATGGCTTTTTTGCCATGGGCGCATTGAAGGAGCTCGCAAACTCCACTCACTCCTCAAGATCTTTAAACCCAGCTCGGCTACAAGCAGATCCTGATGCTTAACCCAAGAATTCTGAAGAAATCTCTCTGCTGGTGGTTGATGGCATCACGGGTCATACAAGATGCTTCCAAAGTTATCGAAATCGTCTGACAGCGTGGGAACATTGTAGCGCTTGTCGCAATGGCCATGTACAGTATGGAAGCGATAATGAATAAAACGCTCACTACTTGCGCGTCAGAAACACACCAGTTCTGATAAACGTCAAGTGCAGTGTGGACAGAGGTTAAGACAGACCAACGTCAGATCCGGCCATCACATGCGCCTTTTTTCATTCTCAAGTAACATGCCCTAGTTTTTGGACAGACGGCAACCTTCTCAATAGCCAATGGTTTCCAAAATACGTTGGTTTGGTGACAAATTGGTTGAAAAGGGCAGCACACATCATTTTGTTTGTCATCTATGCCTTGATCTTAAATGAACTTTTTCGATCAATTAAAGCGACCGATCAAAGCAATATTTCTTGGTGACGCGAGATATCCTCGCCCGTTTGATCGGCTGTAACGGGCAGGGTACCAAACAACTGATGCATTCCATCAAAACAACTCAAAACAAATGAGGGAACTTATATGCTGCCTTTGGAGGCTATCATACCCATCTATCTTAGCTGCATAGCTATCATATCTATTCATTTTTTATCAGCGATATACTATCGGCTTATGATTCGTCTATCTGTATGCCCGTCCAGTTTTGCGTTGCGTTGTCCACGGGTCACACGACGGGTCGATAAAAGGGGAGATTTGGACACGGCGCGCCGCCGCACCAGGCGGATTTCCACGGGCGGGCGGATCGCGAGCCGCTGCGGCCGGTACTTCGGGCCGCGGCCATTGGCCGAATGGTCGGTGTAAGCCCATTGGTTTCGCACGGGCGGCCCGAAAATGTGGCTGACGACAAGGCCGACGAACAGCCGCTCGAAAACGTGGCTACTTCGTGACAACCGGGGGTTGGAGCGACAACACATTGATGCGCGTAAGTACGTCGTTGAACGGGGCACGGCGTGGTGTCAGACGTCTTGTCGCACGTACCACGTGTCTCTTGCAAAAAAATGGCAAAGATGACTGGCCGGTTTTGCGTATTTTCATGTTGTCCTCTGTATCTTGGCAGCCAGAGTGCGTGGAGGCGTGAACCCAAATTCAAAGTGTCAACCGACAAAGTGCGGTCTTAAGTTCATGCGGTTAACACGGGTTTGTGTCATGCGCGTTTGCCGCAGTATTCGTTAGATTAGCTGAGAATATCGGCATTTTGAAAAATGGTGCTGAATACAACATGCTGTCGAAAGTGTAGCCAGGGTCGTAGCTAAATTTACATCACCGCGTGCACCGATTGATTGCCTGAATTTACGATCCTTCTATCCGCAACTTTGTACACTGTCCCGGTCATACATCAAGCTTGTCTTAACGGTCGTAGCTCTCCATTTTCATGTCGTGAAAATGACAACAGTTGATCGCGCAGTCGCCGGCAGCCAGTATTTTAACACGCGCCCGTGTGGCCGGCTAGGTACACTTCGCTCGGGTGGGGGTGGGGGGGTCAGTTTGACCGCTGAGATATCGGGAACTAACAAAGCTAGAGACACCAAGTATACAGGGTGTGTTAACATGTACATGAACTCACTTAGGTCAAATTTTTAGGTCCCTAGGTCATGACCTTCGGGTCAAATAAGGTCAAACAAGGTCAAATTCCAAGTTGGTCTCCAAAATGCCCCGAAAACCTAAATAACTGTTTCTAAGCAAAAGTTAATATGCTCATTTAAGGTCAGTCATCTTTTTTACCTTTGGAAGGTCATGGTGACAAAAATCATGCAAGAATGCTTTGAGTTTTGTAGTTGAATAACCGACAAAGATTATGCTAGGCAGTATGTTTCTAAAAAACAAAATGTTCACGTGAGTCATTCTAGGTCAATGACCTATTCTGACCTGTAAGAAGTTTATGGAAGGGGTATAATGCGGTTCCTGCCATCAATAAATTCTAAATGGGCACCAGAAACTATCCCATGCAGCAAGCGCTAGGGTAATAATACAGGTTGGTTTTGATCTTGGCCTGACCTTCATACCTGGCCTTAGGTTAACGTTATTTGCTCATTTAGTATTTGCGTTGCCTAAGAAAGCATCTCAGAGATGTATGGCTTCGTCTAACACCCCGTTGTTGCATCAGATTGAACGATTCCCAAGAAACTGACCACTGTAACCATGACCTGACTTTGACCTGCCATAGGCCAGCGACCTTACAAGGTACATCTAAATTTCTAAGTCAAGCGATCCGCTATTCAGTTGTCTACAGCTATGCCAAATTTGGCGCGGCTACGCCGCGCCGTTCGGAAACCACTCGGGAAAAACCTTTGGAGGGCAATTTGATCCCCACCCGAGCGCGTGTTAAGTAAACGACGAAAACCGTATGCGCCGTATGTTGCTGGCGTCTGGCAGCCGTCATTCAGTGGTTATGGCGAGAAAGGTGGGCCATACTGACAATCAAGGGCATCGTGCGCACTCTTTGCGTTGAGAAATGCCATCGAAGCTACAGACATTGAGTGTAGAATAGTTTGCAACGCGTACGGAACGAGGACCCACAAGTTTTCAGCGAAGCTCACTGCTACGGTAAAACAGTAATCCCACAGGCTTCGCAGGATATGTTTTGAAGTCACTAAAGAGGTGACAACACAGAAGCATTGCAACGGCATTGCGAAGTGCCAGCGGCAAAAAGTAGGGAGGTCTGGCACAAGCAGTGGTGACAAGTACGGTTTTATTGGGCTTTTGAAACGGATCACGACGTTCCAGCCCGAGTGAAAATCTGGAGAGCAGGATTCTATTGTCCCCGGTAGTCACCACATCGCACCCGGCTTCTGGCAGGCATCCCGCCAGCCCGAACTCGGATCGGCCGGGGAATCCTTGACCTTCCGGACAAAGGCTTTTTAGAATGGCTATGCAGCTGTGTTACCATATTTCTTATAATGTCCCACGAGGCCGCAGGCTAAATGCCAGGAGTTTAACCGTTCTAATGTTCCGCGTAAAAAGCTTAACAACCTCTTTGATCATGTGCGCTACGAAAAATGGAATCTGAAGTCGTGAAGGACCTTGAAGATATCACGCAAAGGTACTCGAAATGCATCTGACCCAAGACGAATGCACAGAAGCATCGCGGCTATAGCAGTGCGGCTGCGTCCTGTGTTTTCAGGCGGACAGTCGTCTGCGCGTAAACAGCCTCCGGCACGCGCCAACGTGCGAGACTTCAGAGACCAGCACTAGGTCTCAAGAAACAGTGTCCTTCCGAGGAGAGACGGCGCTGAACACCAGGCAGGCATCCAGCGAGGGCGTGCCTCGGCCACGCCCTCCATGTGCATGCCTAACACGCGGTAGGTGAAAACCAACACGAGGGGAGATCGCATTTCACCTCGGCCTCGTCCGGCACCAATGTTTCATAGGGCATAAAGTTCGCCAGTCGCATCAGTCCAGTCCACGGAGAACCTTGCATTGTGGCACACACTCTCACACCGCCACCGCCACCGTCATCAAAGCCGCGAGAGGGCGCCCGCGCCCGGCTCCGCGCGACCGCCGGCGCGGCGCCGCGCGTGCGGGTGCGCGCGCGCCGCGTCGCGCCCAATCGCCGGGGCGCGCTATTTTGGCGCGCCGCGCCATGGTCTATGCCCGGCATGTGTTGACAGGGGGACGGCGCTGCGCGGCGCCCGCCTATAATCTTATCGGCGGAGCTCCAGCGGCGGCGGCGGCAGTGTGCGGTGGCGGTCGGCGCGCGCGGCGGCCCGGCGCGCGACTCCAGCGTCTCCTGTTGCGCCGAGTCCAGCGCGCCCGCCGGCGGCGCCTCGTTGGCGGCAGTCGGCGGTCGCCGCTGCCACGGGGAGTGCGGCCGCCAGCGTGACGCCTGGCGCGAGCGGTGCGTGTGTGGTGCGGTGCGCGTGCGGCGCCAGCGTCGACGGCGGCGGCCATGCACCGGGAGCAGGCGGCGCCGGAGCCGGCGGCGGCCGAGCAGGCGCGGCGTCTCACCTCGTTGGACGCGCTTGCCGGCAAGATCTCGCCGCAGAACGGCGCCGTCGCCGACGAGCCGAAAGCCAAGTGAGCACCATCTGTTGTGCCGGTGTGTTGTGCGCGATGTCATGTTCGCTGTCTGATGTTGGCGCTACGACGGTAACAACATAACACAGTGTTATCAGTGTGGTTGTCGGGCAGCGCTGGTGAGCGTCCCGCAGCCGTCAGTGCGGCGAATGACGTCTCGTCGGGTCCCATGTCACCGACCCGTCAGCGACCAGCCGTCACTGCAGCGCAGACAGTGTGACGCTTTGCCGATACACCACAAAGCAATGACAAGCCAGGTGTCAGCCATTGATGGCCTGAACTGGGGACCATTGGCTAGGTTGGCGACGGTCAGTGCCGGCTCGGAAACCGCTGGCGGCGGCTTCTGACTTTGGTGACATAATTGGTCTCCGATGGTGACAGATGCCACTGTTTAGGTCAGGTTTGACTGCCGATGGCCTCGGCTTTTGAGGGCTGTTGACGGCTGTGACGGATGTCAGCCATTCGAAGGCGGCAGATCTCAGTTGGCATCGATTAAAACAAAACGATGACAGCTGGAAACGGATGTCAACGATGATGGCAGCTAATGACGGCCAAAGCCAGATGCCTGCGGCTGCCGACGGCTGATGTGGGCTGGTTACGGCATGTGACGGATTCCCGCCGCCCATCAATAGCTGACGCAAGCCAACGACGCCCGCGAATTTCCCTTCACGACTGGCGATTATTTGCACGTTAATGCATGTATGTATGCAAATAACGCTCAAATGCCGGCATGCCCGTACGGTAATGCATGTATGCATGCCAGTGACGCTCGAATGCCGGCAGCTGCCGCGCAGTGAGGGTCGTTACTGTCTGGTGGTGTGTGGCGCCGCGCGCCCGACCGCCGGCCGCACCTCTGAGGCCGCTGGTCCGCGGCGGTGACCAGCGGCGTCCGGCCTGATAGCATCTCCGTGCCGCACCTCTGAGCCGCTGGTCAGCGGCGGTGACCAGCGGCCCCCGGCCTGGCGTCGTCTCCGTGCCGCACCTCTGAGGCCGCTGGTCAGCGGCGGTGACCAGCGGCGTCCGGCCTAACGTCGTCTCCGTGCCGCACCTCTGAGGCCGCTGGTCAGCGGCGGTGACCAGCGGCCCCCGGCCTGGCGTCGTCTCCGTGCCGCACGTGTGAGGCGGCTGATCAGCGGCGGTGACCAGCGGCGTCCGGCCTGACGTCGTCTCCGTGCCGCGCGTCGCCGGTGTCGCCGCCCGCCGCGCCGGCTCAGAATGCGCTCGGCACGCGCCTTATCGCGCTTGACACGTGTCACGTGTCTGGTGACGTCACGGCTCACCTGTGCCAGCTGCCAGCTGCCGGTGGCAGTGGGGCGCTGGGCCGGGGCCGGAGCCGAGGCCGGAGCAGGGGCAGGGGCCGGGGCCGGGCAGGGTCGGCGGAGCTGCGCTGTTGTGACGCGCTCGCCGGGGCCAGGCGGACCGTTGGACAAATAAAGCGTCGGTGACGGGCGCCGATCCGTTCTCATGGCTCGGCTTGGCGGACCGACCGAGCGCCCAGTCCGTCAGTCGCACATCTCTGCGACCGGTGGCTCAGCCTGATAGCTCGCTAGTGGTGTAGCTGAAATGAACCCACCTTTTCGGCAAACGGCGGGGTTCTGTAAGGATGGCATGTTGCTTTTTTCATGTGAGTAGCGACGAGCGGCTGGACTTCGGCGCGCCATTGCCGTATCAGCTGCCGGCCAGCTAGCCAGCCTGGCCCAGACGTGTTTGCGTCACGCTGCGGACATCTGCCATTCCACACAGGCTTTTCCGTTTGCCTTTGCCATTCCATCCTCGATGTTTTGCTAGTGTCCAGTCAACCTCTAGGGACATTTCATTTGACTATGGCATTGTTGAGCGGGATTGTTGAACTGCAACAAGTCTTACTACCCCTGGTGTAAATCAAACATGCCTTGTGCAAACTGAGAACCATATAGAATAAATACACGGCGCCGCCACGCCCAGAAGAGCTGCTCTGGGAAAGAAGAGGGCTCGGCAGGCATTACGTTGGAACGTGCCATGAACACAGTATTGTTTCACCATGGTACAGCCTTCTCGGGCGTCGGCATTCCTATATTGTCACAGATGCTATCAATCGCGAAAACACGACGCGGAGGGAAATGCAGGTTTTAAAGAGCCTTGAGCCACTTGAGCAAACACCTGCCATGAGAAACATGCGGTATCGATCGGTCCGATGAGCCCATTGGTTGTATTAATGGATTGGTCCATTGAATTTGGTGAATTGGGCCTAAGCTTCTAAGCTACTCATGACTAGACCGTCTTCTAAAGCATGCACTGAAGGTATCACTGCCGTGCGAATGACATGACACGATCGTTTGATTTTCCCGGCACTTTTTTCTGTCACTGACTCTAATGAGTCGCGTCTCCACAAGTGGCGCTTGGCTGCTGCTGGGCCGTGCTGACCGCCGGCGGCGGCTGTGGCCGCTGGTCCGGCCACGGTCAGCTCGAGGCGGGCTCTGGCGGTAAATCGGCCGCCTGCTGCGGCGGTCTCCGCCTGCCGCGGACTGAGGCGTATCTCAGGCGCCAGCATCATTGGCTCGCGGGACGCTCAGGACTCCCGGGGGCACCATCACCGCCGGCCAGTGGCGTTTAGCACACCGTCAAGGCCGGGTGGACATGCTGGCAGAGACGAGGGGTCGTAAGAGGATTGGAAGGGGAAGGGATGCGGTGAGCGGATCGGCACGGAGGTAGGGGGTGCTTGTGAGAGGATGGGCGTGTGCGAATGGATAGGGTGCAGTGAGGGTGGGCAGGTGGGCTGGGAGGGGACACTGAGAGCTATGCATAGTATCGAAAAGAACGTACGGTGGGAGCGAGGAGAGCAGATAACTGAGTCACGTTGAGAGGCAATATAACATCTTTTAAATATCGCTAGATTTTGAAGCTTTCTACGAAAGGCAGAATGTAACAAATCATGCATATGACCTCCAGCCACATTGCACAAGCCTGTTGAAGCAACCTCCAGATCAATATCTACCGTCTGATCACAACATATGTTCAACTGGAATGCTGGGCATATACCTGTGTACAGATACAGATGACTGAAGAGCTTGAAGAAACAAACAGACCAAAAGTTGTAATGGTACTTAACAGCCGGCGTTGTCGGGGTCGTGCGCTTTATGTTCCTCGGGCATAAACAGACAAACTCAATGCTACCACTTTCCCAATTAAGATAAAAACCGTGCTAGAAGCCACCCAAGTTTCTCGCAAATGCAATGAACGACTTAGTACCTTTATAAACTCGGACAACTATTGCAAATGTAATACGCCAGTGGCTGGGGGCTGTATTGACAAATGGGCTATGAAAGGGCACACAGTGTTGCATCCATTGCATTTATTATTGATTATGATGATGCATGCTTTTAGTATGAAACAAAAACGTTTGAGTGCACTTCACCCTTACAACAGCAGCCGAGTGCCGTGAACAGATGCGTTTATATCAATGACCCACTGACTTACTTCGAAGTACCATCGGGTGAAAGTTGGGAAATTTAGGCTGTTTGTTTAATTTTTTAGCGAGATTTTCGATTAATACGACTCAGTTTACTGATGCGTCATGTCTACTGTGGGTGTTCTGTCAGTGATGATCTTGCTATAAAAATCCAAACGCATTTCTCCCGTAATTACATTGTAGTGGTCTACACATTCTGGATTTTGATGGTGTTAAAACTTTAAGAAAAAATGCATTATTTCCCTAATGCACTTTTTACATTTGGATGGTGTTAAAACTTAAAGAATAAAAATGCATTTTTTCCCTAATGTGTTTTTTACCCCGCGGCAATCCGCCAAATCTGGCCCACATCCCGGCCAAAATCCCACGGCTTTTTGCGGGCAGATGTTGGCGGGTTGGCAGGTTGAAAAGCTGCATCTCTAGTAACCACTTGGATGGAAGGAGATCATGTGGAAGGGTACTACGGGATGAGGAGGAGCTGGTGGGTGAACCAAGCTCTGAGCAGATCCGGTGAGAAGACCCGCCACCCCGGTGACCCCTGAGTGCCGCCGCCCACGAGTGGTGCTCCACCCTCCGTGACCGTGCCTTGCTCCTGGGTAGCACGGCCACCGTCCCATTGAAGCCGAGCTCAGGGCAGTGGAGCCGACGCCACCGTGTCAGGCTGGGTCCGGATCGCACGTCGCCCGGCGCCCCGTCGCTGCCGTGCTCCGCCCGTTCTGTTTTCTCAGTCGGCAGCCGGCGCGGCGCGCCTGCCGCATACCAATGACCTGGCCGGCGTCGCCCGGGCCCGGCTGTCGGCTTCCGCTAATTCGTGCGTCCGCCACCGATGCCGGCAGGCAAATGTCATTAAACGGCGCGCCTCGCCGACTGGAAACAGACGTAAATGAAAGGAGCGAGAGCTTTCGCCTGTCGTCAGCACCGTAACGTCGGCGCCCGCGCCGGTGAGGCCAGCCCCAGTGGCGCGCCGGGCCACCTCGGCCGCGCGCCGCCAGTGAGGCCAGCCCCAGTGGCGCGCCGGGCCACCTCGCCGGGCCACCTCGGTCACGCGCCGCCGGTGAGGCCAGCCCCAGTGGCGCGCCGGGCCACCTCGCCGGGCCACCTCGGTCACGCGCCGCCGGTGAGGCCAGCACCAGTGGCGCGCCGGGCCACCTCGCCGGGCCACCTCGGTCACGCGCCGCCGGTGAGGCCAGCCCCAGTGGCGTGCTGGGTCACCTCGGCCACGCGCCGCCGGTGAGGCCAGCCCCAGTGGCGCGCCGGGCCACCTCGCCGGGCCACCTCGGTCACGCGCCGCCGGTGAGGCCAGCCCCAGTGGCGTGCTGGGTCACCTCGGCCACGCGCCGCCGGTGAGGCCAGCCCCAGTGACTCGCCGGCCACCTCGGCCGCGCGCCGCCGGTGAGGCCAGCCCCAGTGGCGCGCTGGGTCACCTCGCCGGGCCAGCTCGCCGAGCGGCCCGGCCGCGCGCCGCCGGTGCTGACGAGGCCGTCCTCGGAGCCAGGCTCCGGTTTGCGGGCGTGCCGGGCCGCGGCCGGATGTGGGTCTGACCCAACCCGCG